CCTCATCTTTCTTCCATGGAGCAGCTGGTGGGTTTGAACTGTGACCTGGTTTGCAGCCCAGTGCCTTATCCACTACATCACCAGAGCTCCTTGCTGTTAAGCACAGACATAAAAAAATTATATAAGCTTAAAACTAAATAAATTATATTTTAAATATGTAGTATATACTAAAATTCATCATTTCTTACTTATTCTATTTCACTATAATCTATGCTCTTGAATTTACTTACATCTATTGAATCTATGTGGTGGAAATACTATATAATAGCTATTTTATATATTCCACAACTGGACCAATAAGCAACATCACAATAAATGGAGAAAAGATTGAAGTTGTCAGAGATTTCATTTTACTTGGATCTACAATCAACATCAAAGGAAGCAGCAGTCAAGAAATCTGACATCATAATGCATTGGACAATACTGCTGAAAAAGACCTCTTTAAAGTGTTAAGAAGCAAAGATATCACTTCGCAAAGGTATCACTTTGAAGACTAAGGTGTGCCTAACCCAAGCCATGGTATTTTCAGTCACCTCACATGCATGTGTAAGCTAGACAATGAATAAGGAAGACAAAAAGAATTGATGCCTTTGAATTTTGGTGTTTGAAAAGAATACTGAAAATACTTGGACTGCCAGACAACTGAACAAATTTGTCCTAGAAGAGTGCAGCTGCAATGCTCCTTAGAAGCAAGAATGGACAAACTTCATATCAGCTACTTTGGTCATGCTGTCAGAAGCGACCAGTCCCTGGAGAAGAAAAAGGAGAAGACCCTCAATGAAATGGATTGACACAGTGGCTGCGAGATGGGCTCAAGCATAGCAGTGATTGTGAGAATGGTGCAGGACAAGGCAGCATTTCATTCTATTTTACATAGGTTTGATATGAGTCTTCCCCAATCTCAACCCCATTCACTCACAAATTTCAGGGGAAGAAGTATATTTTAGTGGATAAGATCACAGATGCTTTGGAATCATAAGGCGCTCTGGTGGTGCAGTGGTTAAAGCATTTAGCTGCTAAACTAAAGGTTGGCAGTTGAACCCATTAGCTACTTCACAGGAAAAAGATGAGTTAGTCTGCTTCCATATGATTTACAGCCTTGGAAATCCAGTGGAGCAGTTCTACTCTGTCTGTAGGATCGCTTTGAGTCAAAATCGACTTGATGGCAGTGGGCTGGGTTTTGGCAATCAATGAGATCATATGTGAATCTCAGCTGACACTTAATAGCTGCTAAGTTAAGGTTTTGGAGTGTTTGTTTCCTCATGTGTAGTATTAATGCCTTCCTTATGGCGTTTTTAAAATAATTAAGCAGTAAAACGTATTTGTAATGGATATCACAGTGTGGGTATAGGGTAAGCACCCATGGTCATGAGCTATGGCAATGATCTTGTTCTTGTGATTATAACTTACCGTACCAAGTGAGGTGGGGAATATTTGACATTTCTTAAACACTTGGCAATGTATTAGTCAATGCTCTTTAGTAGCACAAATCATTATATTCATAGAAGAAACAAATAATTCCTTTTTTTTTCAAAAAACAGAAGTTTATCTCCTTACTGTTCTGGAAGTTAAAAGTCCAAATCAGGGCTTGGCCATCTCAATTCCTCATAAGGGTCTTTTAGTTTTTCTTTTTTTTTTTTTTTTAATCAGTTTTGTTGAAGTATAATTTATGTACAGTGAAATGCACAAAACTAAAATGATATGAGGCAATGCATTTTTTTTTTTTTTTTTTGCGGTATTCTCTCCCGTCCTGTCCCACCCCTGGCAACCAACAAAGAAGGTTTCCTTCCATGTATAAACCTTTCCTTCACCCTCCAAAACGAACTAATACTATATTTGTCTGTCTGTGATTGACTTATTTCACTCAGTATAAAGTCCTCCAAGTTCATCCATGTTATGCAGTGTTTTGCTGGCTCTACATTATTCTTTAGTGTTGCATAGCCTTCCATAGTGTGTGTGTACCATGATTTGGTTACCCCTTCAGTGGCTGGGCCCGTACGCTGTTTCCATATTTTTGCTATTGTAAATAGTGCTGCTATGAACATGGGTATGCATATATCTGTTCCTGTCATGGCTCTCACTTCTTTAGGATATGTACCTAGTAATGGGATTGCTGGGTCGAATGGTATCTCCTATTCCAGTTTTCTAAGGAATCGCCATATTGCCTTCCACAGTGGTTGTGTATCTTCACAGTCCCACCAGCAGTGTATGAGAGTCCCAATCTCTCCACATTCCCACCATCATTTGTTATTTTCTGTCTCATTGAACCTTGCCATCAGTGCTGGAGTTAGATGGTATCTCATTGTTGTTTTGATTTGCATCTCTTTGATGGCCAATGATTGTAAGCATCTCTTCATGTATTTGCTGGCCCCACCTGAATATCCTCCTTGGTGAAATATCTATCCATGTCTTCCGCTCATTTTTCAATTGGATTGTTAATCCCTTTGCTGTTGAGGTATTGGAGTTTTCTATAAATCTTAGAGATAAATCCCTTGACAGATATGTAATTATTGACAAGTATGAATCTGTTGCTGTTATTTTGTTATGTGCTTTTTTGTGGTGTTGATTTATTTCTCCCATATAATTTTCTGTGCTGAGCTCATTTTGTTTATGAATTGTGTTAGCACTTCCTTCATTGCTATTGTTTTAGTATTTGCTAAATATTTGTACTGGTCCTCTTTTTCATGGTGATGTGAAGGTTTATCACATCAACATGTTTCTTTGAGGTTACCCTGTGATTTATAGTTTTCTTTCCATGTTTAGCACAGTCCATTCTATCTGTTAAGTGTCTTGACTTCCCTAGCATTTAGAAGTTTTATAACTACACAATTTTTTTCCTCATTTTGGTTTGTAGTTGTTCTCATTTGTCAATTGATGTCTCTGGTTCCCTTTTACAATCTTGTAGGCTTATTTACTTTGAATATGTCTATAACTGGGTTGGTTTCTGTGTTATGCCATCATGTATGTTAATGGCCGGTTTTTGTTTGCTGTTATTGGTTCTCTGTCCAAAGGACTCCCTTTAGCATCTCTTGTAATGTTGGTCTGATTTTAAAAAATTCCCTTAATTTCAGCTTATTTGGAAATGCAGTAATTTCACCATCATATTTGAGGGACAGTTTTGCTGGGTATATAAGTCTGGGTTGAAAATTTTTCTCTTTCAGGGTTTTATATATACCAGCCCATTGAATTCTTGCCTGCATGGTTTCTGCTGAGAAATATGAGCTTAGTCTTATTGGTTGCCCCTTGCAGGTAATTTTTCTTTTTTCTTGTGTTGGTTTTAAGATTCTTTCTTTGTCTTTGGTTTTGGTGAGTTTGATGATAACTTGT